AATTGTCCCATAAACGAGGGGGTGCCTAAACTTTAAAGCTATGGTTTTACACTCTCTACGCCCCCCCCCCCCCCCTTGTCATATTAAATGAACTTTACCTAAGTCAATTTAATGACTTAGCTCTTGTAGCCAACAATGATCAGTTGGAGAACGTAACAAAATTCAAGTATCTTGGAGTGATCATAAACAGCATCTTACTTGGCATGAACACATTGAACAACTACAAAGTAAAATAGCAAAGAGACTAGGTGTCTTAAAACGAATCAAGCACCTTCTCCCAGTTTATGCAAGAACGATCTATGTGTCAACAATGGTCATTCCTATTCTTGAGTATGAGGGTATCGTATAGGGTGACAAAAATAACAAAGTTTTAATGAATTCTATCCAAGTTCTTCAGAATAAAGCGGCTAATAAGCTAGTTCTGGATCGAGCGACGCATTCTTCTTAACTTAAGCACTTCTAGATCTGAACTGGATGAATCTATCAACCAGAAGATTAATGCAACGGTGTTTTTTTATGCATAATTTTATTAATGACAGTGAAAGAAACAGTATGATTACTCGAGGCTCATAGCCATAACACCCGCTCCAAGGAAACTATTAGATCTATTAGATCAAACACGAATTGGGGTCTACTCAGATCCTTACATAGTGCATTGACAGACTGGAATTCCCTTCCAGAAGACATGAGATGTCTACCTTATAATGCTTTTAAGGTGGCTGAACACAGTTTTGCGGGCGGTCAGCGGTAACTCGCGTGACGGCGAGTGTTTTAAATTAGACAAACAAACATGGCGCCGAAAGAGCAATGTTACACAGGAGACGATTTCTCTAAATCTACTTTTTAAAATTTTGTGATATTTGGCAGAATTTTCACGTTAATTGTATTTTAAATAATGAGAACTTTAAAATGGAAGTTGAACAGACGAATTTTGTGACAAATTTAATAATTACAATACAATTAAATTATTGATTTTTTAAAAACCCGTCTGTTAAAATTTGGTCAAAAAAGTGTCAAATGGTACTGATTAATTGTAGCAAGTCGTGTGCAAGTTTATAGCAAAATCTAATGAGCGAATTTTATGTTAACTAAGCAAAAGTGAAATTTTATAATTGTTTTCAATCGTTCATGTTACCATGGAAACTACGGAAACGTCAAATTTTACCTGTCAATCAAAATCTTTCACCTGCATATTTTTCACTTGCCAAGTTTCAGCTTGTGAGTTTCAACCTTTCTCTTGCCATGATTTGGCAAATGACATATACTCGATAACTGACAAAACTGTGTTCAGCCACCTTAAACTTTCATTACTTAAAAATTTCAAATCTTAATAAGTTCGCTTAGTGTGACATTTTTTAGTTCATCTGTTTTAATATTTTGTCATTTTTAGTACTGTAGTTTTTAGTTTTTATGCAGTGCCCTATTGAAAACCACATTATGTGACATAGGCCATCTGTAAAAAGAACTTTCTTCTTATTGTTGTTATTGTCTAGAACTGACTCTAGTATTGTATGTCAACAGACTGTTCGATTTGTTAATTATTTTCTTATAAGTATAAAAGCGTTTCGAGATATCGGCATACAGTTAAAACCGCATTTTTACAAAAAATGTAAATAGCTTCGAAGCCTTACGACAGATTTTGTGCAGCGAGTTGACTTCAAGCTTGCAGATATGAAACTAGAGAGCCCTGAGGCTTATTTGCTGAAGTTTAATAGAGAAAAATAAGTCGTAGGGTTTCGCAGTTAATTAGTTTTGTAAAATATGCGGTTTTAAAATATGTGCCAATATCTCAAACGTTTCTATACCTACAAGAAAATAAGTAACATTTTCTTAAAAGTCCACCTCTATTTATTAAAGATGCCAAAAATCATAGAAATAGGTAGAATCGTTCATGCCGAAAAATGCGATTCAAAAACATAACTTAGACGCACAAAAATAGGTTCGGGCCACCTTTAAAAAAAAACATATGAATATACACCAGGAGGGACTAATTATGTAAGCAGAGCAATTGAATTGAATGAGGTCATGAAATTCAGTTTCAGTTTCCTAGCTAACGTCATTAAACAATAGTGTGTTCATTCGTAAGTATTCATTACTTAAAATTAATTGTAATAGCCGACACGATTCTAATTTCATGTCTCTCATTTGTTGACAGAAACGTACGTTCACAGCGTTAGCAGTTTGCATACACAGTATGAGTTAGGCCCAGTTCATACGTCGTGCTTCTGCCGTGCCGAACTTAATTCTTGAATTAAGTTCGACATAAGCACGGCAGAAGCACGACGTCTGAATCAAAGTTTTTAATTTAGTGCGGCAGAACAATTAAGTTCGACAAGGTCTGCCGTGCTACACGACTCTGGCACGGCAGCGATTCAGACGTCGTGCTTATGCCGTGTCGAACTAAATGCATAAATTTCAGAAATGTATTTTTCGCGGGAATTGTTATCTTGCGTGTCCCGCGAGTAGCTTCGAGGAAAAATGTCCTTCAATGAGCATGCGCATTGATTCTGTTTATTACCCCAGAGCTCCTCTGCGCATGACGGCCAGGAATCAGAAGCGTAAGCACTGGGCCGGGGTCGAGAATGGTTTAAAACAAACATGGCGGCTTTCCGTGCAAGTTTGCATGCTCCTTCCTCCTTGGTTTGCAGTGCTGCAGAGTCCGATAATTCATCAGAAGACGAACTACCTTTTGACGAAAATATTCCACTAGCTGACTATAAAGAACAAGATGAAGAGGAAGACGAGGAAGCGATCGGCGATGTTGAGTCAGTGTCATCGCAATCGTGTTGTATACGACCAAGGATAAAATTAAAGGTGGCTTTTGATACACGAAACGTTTTCTTGAACATCTGATCAGTGTATGTGTTCCATACTTCTTCGAA